TGCATATATGTGTTGTAATTTTTAAGTCAGCATTCCTGAAATTATTTTCTAGTTCAGAAAAGCTTCTAGATTTTCTAGATGACGAATTTGCATGAAATTACATCAAGCACATAATTATTAAACATATTATTTGTGTTAGCTTGCAACCAATTTGATTTTTCCTGTCTGTCTCTTCTATTACATGCAAGGACATCGCTTTAATCATGTGTATCTAAACACAGAACTGACATATAAATGTATATGTATAAATATAGGAACTCCGTGTGGCTTAAAAATTTGTACACGAACTTCATGGCAATTCGATATCTCGAATTCCTTGAAATCGTAAATCGCCATATGTTATAACATGTATCTATAATTATAATGGTTGCTTTGGGAATTTTTACACTAAATATACATTACAGGTTTTTTACACTAAATATTAAAGGTTTTCAAAAATGAAATAGAATTGGACGTCGAGGGGGGGGGGGGACTAAATATAATGTTTTATATGGCTGTAGAATACTTTTAAAAACGTTTCCTAAAATCTTAATTTCAAAATGAAACTTCCACTTGGAATCTGTTTCGTGATATAGAAAAATATACGGAGAGAGGTATCGCTCCTAAAATATTCACATGGATTTAAATAAGCTCATTCCTACGTTTTAAATAGTCTTGTATTATTATATATAGTGTTGTGGGGGTAAATAAGCCGGGTATGCACACTGCGTTACCCCCCCCCCCCCCCCCCCCCCCCCCCCCATCCCATCAGGTCGTCCTAACTCCATGGAACGTATACGACTGTATATTGTATATAAGAGGTGGTGTAGCAAGAATAAGGGAAGTAGGGAGAGCACGAAAAAGCTCAGGAGTCGGTCGAGGTATGCTAGCCGAGACCAACTCTGGTGCTTGAGTATTCTCTCAACTTCGAGTGAGAATATAAGTTTTTCTTTTATATTCTTCTTATTTCAAAATAGAACTTTCTGATCAAATTTTAGATTCTCCTAACGCAAGCAAAATATTAAAATGTCTGCACGTGATTCGTCGCCTGATGATCGGCTGACTGATCCCTAGCTGGCGACAGCATTTGAACAGTGTCATTGAAATTCGAACTTTTATAATACCATTGCGCAGTTCAGATATTTTTTATATATTTCAAAATATGATTCATACTGTCATTTTCGCACGCAATTTCGCAATTTATTAACACAATTGACTACAGTCAACAGAAATACTACATATATTGGAGCCCGTTGATCAATAAAAGTTGGGGTTTTTAAAATAAAAAATAAAAAAAATCCTGAGCGGGGCTTTTTTGTGGGCGGGAGGGGACGCTAACCAACTATTTTTTTTATGTGGCCTAAACACGGCGAAAAACCTTGTTGACTTCGCTATTGGAGTCGACCAGTCCATGGCCCATAAAATAAATTAAAGTTAAGTAGTTGAGTGTTTTTGTTGAACAAATTATATATTTGTGATTGATGATTACATGAAAGTTTTGTGAAACTCTCTCGAGGATATGTTTGCAAAAGAGAAGCAAAGAATTCCCTGGCTTTTGGCCTCGCTCATAATCGAGTTAAAGCACACCCTACAGTCAATCAACACCGTTCTTAGTTATAACACACATATATTATAATTACTAATTCTCCGATCTGGGTTCGCGTTATCAATTTTTCATCTTCTAAGAGGCCGAAATGGACTTCAGAATTGAAATCTTCGTGTTGAAATTAGTCCTTACCGAACATTTCATGATGTTTGGACATCCAGGGCGCGTTTGCAAATTTTGTTTTTCCTATAGTATAGATTTGACTGGAATTTGAAAACATTTCACTGCACCGGAAATTCCAGTCAAATGTATAGGAATTTTCGAAACGCCATAACTCGCGCCTCAAACATCATGAAATGTCCGGTGTAGACTAGTTTAAGCATGGAGATTTCAATTCTGAGGTTCAGTTTTTTTGGCAAAGATCTGTAGATAGTGAGATGAAGAATTGATAACGTCAACTCGAATCGTAGAATAGACAATTCCCATTAGACTAATTTTAAAACTAGGCAAGGAGATGCAAATAAGTCACCACAGCTAGAAAAGAGCATAAAATGAGTAAAATTGCAAAGTTTGGTTGCGAAATGTTGTAATATGCGGAAATATAGCCACGCAAATTTTGTATACTTTTGTATTGCGTGCGCAAATGTGGTAGCAATTTCCGCACGCAATACAAAAGTATACAAAATTTGCAAGGCTATATTTTCCGCATTTTACAACATTTCGCAATCAAATTTTGCAATTTTACTCATTTTAGTATGCTCTTGCTAGCTGTGGTAATTTATTTCCATCTTCTTGCCTAGTTTTAAAATTAATTCTATAATGGGAATTGTCTATTGCATGACAGACATGTTAAAAATAGTTCTTTCGAGACAAGATATATATCTAAATTATTAAATTCACAGCAGGTGTTTTTACTGACCGTATAGTATCGCTGATAACAAGTATAAACGTATGCAGTATTACAAGAATGTTTTTGTATACACGTTTAGTACAATTACATAGATGATTATTGAAAATTCTCCACGCTGATTGGTTGCCGTGGAGGTGATTTTAACGCAATAATCACCTAAGCGATTTTCGAAATGGCGGCCGAAGCCGTTTTGTCAATTAAATGACGAAGAAATGTGTATTATTTTTTAGTTTTTTTTCTCCAAATAATCACCTATGAAATTATACTAAAACAATTATTCACCTCAAGGTCGGTGATTATCGTGAGTAAAAACCTCGACTTCGTCTCGGTTTTTATTCACCGATAATCACCTCGCCTTCGCCTTCGGCGAATAATTGTTAAATAACGTTAAAATCAAGGATCTTGTTTTCGAATTTATCTGAATCTATGACGTCAGTGTAAAATTATGAAGTACTTCATTACCAGAAAATTCGTACCCACTTTTTGAATAAATTAATTATTCAATTTATTAATATGATGATGATGTTTAATATAATTCGAATATAGATCATAATATAGAGACATTCACATTTGCCGCTGTGAACAAAAACTATACTTTTCCATCACTTGAAAGCTTATTTATGAAAATGATTATAGTATATTTAATTTTCTGTCAAGTATAAAGGCCTTATAATTCTATTTCCGGTAAATAGACTTAATAAAATTGTGATAGGCAGAAAATAGACTCTAGTAATTTCTATTCGCAAACCTTCGCAGTGTGAGTATAGGGATCGCGGTTGAAATATAATACAAATTTTAGTCGCCCAAGTGGCTATAGCCTACCAGTGAATAAGATCTGGTCGCCAAATTTTATAATGTCGGGTCTCCCTATTAAATCAACATGTTATGAAGTGTTCTCTTTCTATATAGATAGCTTAAAAATAGTTGTTCAACAGTTGTTCAGAATGAGATACTTGCTTACTGAGATATTTTAGGGCTTCAGAATAACTTTATTATTTTAGGTTATTTCTCAGACGCCACGATGACTATCTCTGACTTTGGCAAATGCCTGGTCAGCAGGTGAAGAATTTGGCGACTTGGCGCCTGCCCATTTCCACCCCTGAGGGTGGGTGCGGCAAATGAGAATTTTTAACTTCTTATTTGCCGCACCCAAAAACTTCTATAATTTTAAATAGTTCCAGCAGAGAGCTTATAAGACTTATAAGGCTTATAACATTCGCGCGACAAATTTCGCTAGTAGAAAACCGGCTTTTAACCATCCCAAAATCAAAGCAAATTTTTCGACCGAATAGTAAACTTGTAGCGAAGAGGATTTGAAAACGAAAACAAGGTAATTTAGGTTGTGTCACGTTGTTACAAGGCAGACGCATGTATTTCTGCCCTATGTAGATTATTGTCAATATGTCTGCACCACATTCATTATAGAGTTCGTTTATTCAAAAAATGGGAACGAGCGTGCACGTCAGTTTCTGGTAATGTTTCAAAATTTTACTCTGTCTATGACATGATAGATTCATTTCATGCATTTCCTAACCGGAAATTACTGGGTGTTTTTAAGATTGTTATATTTAATTATAATCTATGTAAAGCGAAATTATGGTGTCGATGTTCTTTAAATAATTCTCGCAATTGCGCCCTAGCAATTATATAGTTCTAAATTTAGCAGGTATGTATATATACAATATATAAAAAAACGTAAACGTGACCTTGTTGACAGCATTTTGTCTCAATATACCCGACAAGACGAAGTATATCACTGCGCACCTACTACGCTGACCAATTCGAGTGTCACAAAGTTCACTCGTATGATCTTTATATCTGAGTTAATTATAAAATATCCTTGCATGCATGCCTCACTTTAACATACTAAGCCATTCTTGTATGTATAGAAATGTTTGATTGTTCGTGTATAAGAACCAGTGTGCATGAAGTCTTTGGGTCAGCATTTCGATGCAATCGAAGCTCTATATATAGACAGTGTTCTTTGTTTGTGGGAATGTTGTTAAGTCTTAAACACAGCTGGAAGAGATCTGTACTTAGCAATTAACGGGCCGCTATCTTACCATTGATCTAAAAATCATCAATTATCGCAGCCTGGATAGATTTTATAAAATCTCATTTCATTATAAATATTCTGCATGCTTCAAAATTGGCTCGACTCAATTCAAAAGCATACTACATCCAGTTTTAGTCTTTATAGAGCGGTTTGGATATGCAAGGCCGAAAGATATAGCTTTCCACACTTACTCCAGTGAGATTTAGAAGTGTTAAGCACTAGAGATAATGACAATAATGGGCCCTACAGTAATTTTTTAGTCGAAAAGCTACCTTAAAGGACAATGGCAATAAATTTTTTTATTCCTGATATTGGTAAAACTGGACCCCCTGATTACGAATATGCCATTAGTTTTCATCAAAAATGTTTTGTTCTCGAGTTATTTCACCGTAAATATTCAGTACGTCCGCCATCTTGGATCGATTTTCAAAAAAATTATCTTTTGGGTCACATGACGTGTGTGACGTCAAGAGCAGGGTAGAATCAAAACGACAAATATATTTTATTAGGCGCATATTGCGACTTCGTACTTCTAGTGAGAAATTTGGCGCTTTTTGATTACTCGGATGGAAAATATCCACGATATCAAGTAGATAAGGTATTACCTTATCAATTTTAACTTAAACTGGGCTTACAAACAAGCGATAGCGGTGACGAGAGCGACTCCGAAGAACAGAGTGAATCGTCTGACGAGGAAATCACGATGTGTAATGTGTTTGAGGTAGAAAATGCTTGGCGCATTGCACATTGAAGCCAAAAGATATTGAATTGTTTTGTTGCCACGATAAAACGTTAGACTACGATGAATAAGATGCATGATTAAAGGAGGCTGAAACCCAAGGGGAGAAGTGCTCGACTGCCTTTACAACACTGTCAATACATGCAGAATTGAAAGCAAACATGCTTGTCGGAAGGGCTATTAAATAGACGTTTGTCGCTATCTTGAAGATATTAAACTGGCCTCTGGATGACAAAGATTTGGACAAGATACACAAAATTTATAGACTAGTAGCTTCCAACGATGTTCGCGTTGGGTATTTCAGATTTTGGGGAATAAGAACAGAAGGCCACTTCACGGCATGCGTGTGTTCACACAATAATAGACAAATCCCATTATAGAGTAATTTTAAAACTAGGCAAGGAGATGCAAATAAATCACGACAGCTAGAAAGAGCATACTAAAATGAGTAAAATTGCAAAGTTTAGTTGCGAAATGTTGTAAAATGCGGAACATATAGCCTTGTAAAGTTCGCAAATTTTGTACACTTTTGTATTGCGTGCGGAAATTGCTAATTTTCGGCCCAAATGTGGTAGCAATTAACGCACGCAATACAAAAGTATACAAAATTTGCTATGTTTCCGCATTTTACAACATTTCGCAACCAAGCTTTGCAATGTTACCCATTTTAGTATGCTCTTTCTAGCTGTGGTGATTTATTTGCATCTCCTTGCCTAGTTTTAAAATTAGTCTATAATGGGAATTGTCAATTGTGTATTCGAGAGCGGTTTGGGGCTTTGAGATTGTGTGAATGTTCATTTATTCAAATTTGGCTAAATCTATATTCTTTTAATAATAACTCTATAGTATGTGCCGATTACATGAAGCATTTTCAAGCCTGGGGATAAACTAGTTTTATACTGTTGACAGCGTTGGAATTTGTTCAATAAAGTAGCCCTCGGCCTGGGTGCTCGAAACAGGTTTGAAGTTTAATTTTAACCTTGTTTTTGAACTGAGTCAAAATCCAAGGTTGAAGATCCTCTAATTCCTTCGATGTAATCAGCTTTATTATATAATGTGCAGCATGCAACCCCAATTTCATACAACATATAATTTGCAATTGTCCTATTATCTATTAAAGTGCAGTGGTGTATATATTAATGCTTTATTAAAATTAAGTTTATAAACAAATTTGTTCTCATTATTTATATCACAAAAACATCAAAACGATTTTTGCACGCGAATTGCAAAGAATCAAAACATATTCTCAGTCATTTTATAGTATTTATTTATGCGATATTGTTCCTGTTGATGTGGTCATAGCCGTGATCACCGAGAACAGCAAATATAAAAGTCTACAAAGTAGGCGAGCATATTGTCATATTGACATAGTACCAGACTATGCATATGGCCAATCATTTATAATCTAAGAGCTTTTACCGCCGAAATCAACGCGTTTATTTCAAAAACACAGCTGAAACACGCAGTAGAGTAGTAGCGCTAAATTTTTACGCAGTTATACAAAAAAATTTGGAGTTAATCCGCACTTTTTGGTCAAAATCTTCGTAGAATGTGTTCGCACGCATACTATTTTATGTTGACAATATTTGTTTCCCCTGCTTTTGACGTCACAAATTTATTCTCACATAAATTAGCATACCAGGTTTTTTTCAAGATGGCGGACGACTGTCGAAAGTTTTATGATATTTCTGAACAACTAAACGCGATTGACAAGTGAAAATACGTAATTAAGTATTCCGTAGGTATGTTTAATAGATATCGAGAATAAAAAAATTTATTGCCATTGTCCTTTAAGTATTGTTTACATTTTTTGTTATTGTCGCTACTTGACATGCGCACCACGGCATGCATGCGTCTTCCGGTGTGCGGAAGTACTCATACTCATCGATACTGCATGTAAGATACAGCCAAACGAATCTCCGTGGAGTCCCCTACTTAATTAAGGTGGCTTTTCGACTAAAAAATGACTGTAGGGCCCCTTTAAGCCGCCCATATATTGATGTCACCTCGTTAGTTATTCACTAATTCACCGGTAAATTTAAAAAGGAACGGATGCCATTGATGACGAATTACTATCTAGAAAATACGTGTTTTCTCCCACCAATAATTTGAAATTGAGAGAACGTCTTCTTACATCCTTTATATTGTATGAGCGTGCGCGGTTTTCGTTGTATTGGCAGCACAGCTGCATTGCGATGCACGACAGGAAATTGCGCAGAAATATGGGCATGTTTTTATAAGAAGTGCTTTTGATTATGCTTCAGTCGCGTATTATTGTTTTTGGGCCCTGTATGGGTCTTTTCTTTACCTCGAATTTTTACCAATAAGTTCAAGTAATTCAGTAGTTCGCCGCATATATATTCAGTACACGTCAGACGCACAATCTATATGACTATATGCATTCTCAGTTAATATGATCGAGTTGACTCATGGCTAAAGTGCGGTTGTTATTCTGACTAATTTTATACTGAATTTATAGAACTAAATAACTGGTAATATCTGAGAAATTCCTATCTCTAAAACTCGTTTCGTGTCCTTAGCTTAAAGCTAAGCCATTATGCATTAACGTTGTCCTCTACAGATACCCATGTGTGATGTGTCTGGCATGACTGCACTAGCACATTATTATTATTATTATTATTATTATTATTATTATTATTATTATTATTATTATTATTATTATTATTATTATTATTATTATTATTATTATTATTATTATTACGTTTTCCTTCAAACTTTTAGCTCTTGGCCGCAATGAAGATTGAATTTCGATACAAATAAATTATGCAAACTAACTATAAATACTGACAAACACTTTTAGGATCTTGGTTTTAGACGAAGCTTCACGATTTCCGAGCTTATAGCGATAAAGTAAACTATGTTTTCGAGGGGGCCAAGTTTCCGAGGGGGGGGGGGCATATTTTTTCCTAGGAAATTTGGGGGGGGGGGGCAAATTTCCTGGGACACCGGGTCATTCTACGAACTATATATTGACCAAGGAGTGATTCTATATAATGCTCCCAGTTGGCGAGGGCGATCAGCGGCTCTTAGAGTATATAGTTTCCACTTATCATATAATGACTTTGAAAATTTGTTGAATAAAAATGTCTTTTTGATCATTGATTTTATCGAAGCCCAATGGAATGTTTATAATTGTAAATAATTTGCAATATGACGTACATGCATTATATTATGTTATAAATAATACTGTTTTATCATTTGCATAACAACACTCAAAATCCTAAAAATAATTAATAGTTATATCAGGTCTATACTATCCTGTTCTAAAACAACGCACATTGTGAAGTAATTTAAAACTCATAAATTTGGTTTTCCCTGTAGCTACTGTACTAGTACAACATTCCTTCCCCTCATATCAATGTTGTTTTTATCCTGAAGCTAAAACTGTAAAGGAAGCGGAGGTTTCACCCAATTGCCCATGAAACTACTAATCTACTGACACACTGCTAAATAACTCGGAACATATATACTGCTCAACTTTTGCGAATGTTGCCAGTTAGTTTTGCGAATGTTGCCAGTTCTTTCTTTTCATTTCTAGATGAATAAATTAATTATTTAATTTAACATGTTACCGTGATGTTTACTATAAAAATTCGCACACATGCATATAGATTATAGAGGCTTAAATTCACATTAGCCGCTGTGAACAAAAAGTACTTTTCCATCACTTGAAAGGTATTTTATCAAAATGATTATAGTATATTTTCTGTTGAGTATAAAGACCTTATAACTCTATTTCCGGCAAATAGACTTGCGAAATTGCGATAGGCAGAAAATATACTCTAGTACTTTCTATTCGCAGACCAGTTATTTCTGACCAGGATTGACATCGTCATCTTTTCATTTCTAGATGAATAAATTAATTTAATATGGTACCGTGATGTTTACTATAAAAATTCGCACACATATAGATTATAGAGGCTTAAATTCACATTAGCCGCTGTGAACAAAAAGTACTTTTCCATCACTTGAAAGGTATTTTATCAAAATGATTATAGTATATTTTCTGTTGAGTATAAAGACCTTATAACTCTATTTCCGGCAAATAGACTTGCGAAATTGCGATAGGCAGAAAATATACTCTAGTACTTTCTATTCGCAGACCAGTTATTTCTGACCAGGATTGACATCGTCATCTTTTCATTTCTAGATGAATAAATTAATTTAATATGGTACCGTGATGTTTACTATAAAAATTCGCACACATATAGATTATAGAGGCTTAAATTCACATTAGCCGCTGTGAACAAAAAGTACTTTTCCATCACTTGAAAGGTATTTTATCAAAATGATTATAGTATATTTTCTGTTGAGTATAAAGACCTTATAACTCTATTTCCGGCAAATAGACTTGCGAAATTGCGATAGGCAGAAAATATACTCTAGTACTTTCTATTCGCAGACCAGTTATTTCTGACCAGGATTGACATCGTCATCTTTTCATTTCTAGATGAATAAATTAATTTAATATGGTACCGTGATGTTTACTATAAAAATTCGCACACATATAGATTATAGAGGCTTAAATTCACATTAGCCGCTGTGAACAAAAAGTACTTTTCCATCACTTGAAAGGTATTTTATCAAAATGATTATAGTATATTTTCTGTTGAGTATAAAGACCTTATAACTGTATTTCCGGCCAACAGACTTAATAAAATTGCGATAGGCAGAAAATATACTCTAGTAATTTCTATTCGCAGACCAGTTATTTCTGACCAGGATTGACATCCTCATCTTTTCATCTCTAGATGGTCCATCAGCTGGCAAGTTGTATGCTAATGATCAGATTTTGAAGATTAACGACGAAGACGTATGTGATATGCCACAGTCAGACGTTATTCAACGAATTAAGTAAGGAATTGTATATTTCTAACCATTTATTACAGTGCCTTTAAAGGCAACGCATGCAAGTGTTACCATCGAGTTAAGAGATGCTATTCAGTTTAATAATATCGTCAAGTATACATGCAGTAAACAGAGTGATTCATCCTTCCGGCAAAACTCAGCCTTGACTATAGAGCTCTATCGTTTCTGTGATTGAGATATTCATGGGTTGAGAGGCCTATATCTTGTTACATGTGACATTTATGCCATCATTCCGTTATATTAGATAATATTAAAGAACTTTATACCATCACTAACAAGATAAAGGACTCTAAAGGAGTAAAGTCGATATCTCAAGCCCGAAAACGAAGCTCTATGGCCAAGGCTAGGTAATTTCTAGGAGGATGTATTCTGTCTTGTGATTTGTTATTGTCGACCCAGCAGATATTAAGAAAGTAAACCAACTTCTGCTGGGGAAAGTGGTTAATAAAAGACTATATATGGATAAGATTTACACCTACCCCAACCGCTTTCGAGAAATTAGAACACATGTAATTCCTATAAAGTTTTCGGTGCATGCACAGTGTGGTTCGTTCCTCCATATTTATTAAATCGTGAATATAAAGGTAAGAATAAGCACTATAACCCAATACAGAATCATGTAGCCTATGTTTCGTATAGACTTTGTTGAATTGTTAAAAAAACCCAAATTAATCAGTGTTTGTTACTTCCTGTTATAATGTGTTTACCATTAGAGGTCAACCAATTGGAAAATAATCCCTAAGGGTTATAGTGATCACGCTATGTCTAGAGGGACTCCACTTGCACGCACTATACGCACCATAGTTTCATATTTGTAAGAGGTCTACCGTTTTACATTCACTCCACTTTCAATTTTTGCTGATTGCCTTCTTCTGATGCATCTGAACGAGTAGATGAGTTACGAATGTCCGGAATGCATGTACGCTCATATAAATATTTATAGCTCATCCACTCGTTCACATTCATCAAAAGAAGAAAGTCGTACCTAAAATCGCGGCAAAAATTGGTAAACGGGCCTTAATATGTATATTGCTTTCAATTTTTTTCCAGGGAGTCCACTCAAGAACTGAATCTTGAAGTTATCGCTAGTGATGATGTTCAAGATGTCAGAAATCGGGTAAGAGTATTAGAATAGGAGAATTTAAGATGTCTAAAGAAATTGTAATTTTTAACCAGCATATCATATTTCATTTGATCTTGTATATATGCATGGCCATTTAAACTTTAATGTCATTATATACCATTGATGACTGGAAGCTAGTCAACGTACTGTGGAGTGTAGGATAAAAATGTTGTTTGTTTAGCGTCCATTGTTTTGTATTTTCTAAAATTGCTCAATGGCAACCGTGACTTTTGGCCAAACATCCACGCCACTAGTCTAACCCAAAACATTGCCATATGTTAGTTGGGCGAAAACACAATACACACGTGATGGCGAGGGAGCACATTTTTAAATAATCCCAGAAAAAATCATAGATGATATAATGAGTTGTATTGTTTCTATCAAGTTCCAAACTTTGTATTCTATTGAATATGTTTTTTTTTTCTAATTTCGCTTGTGAATTGATTTTATGAACAGGGCCAACGCAAATCATCAATAATGAGTCGCACAACAAGAGAAAGACGAAGATCCAACCCAGTCAGTGTTCGTTTTGCTGATACACCAGTTCTTGTTCAATATGTCGGTTCTCCTCCAAGCTATCCACTCAGGCGGGTACGTATATTTTTCAAAACTTAACAATAATGCACTCACAGTGACTCAAAATTTTCAGTAAAATTTCTCAAATTTATGAGCGAATTTACTCAATTTTTTATTGAAGTTTCAATATTTTGAAAGGTTTTGAGTATAAAGATTCATTTTTGCTCATAAATTTGACTGATTTTACTCAATATATATTTCGAATCATGGTAGGTTCATTATTTTAGTCAAGTTTTTGAGTGTACTGTATATCCAAAGTGCATGAATAGACAATAATTTTCTAATTGATGACAAATAAAAAATTTCATGCTTCCATAAAATCTGCCCCACTATTTTGTTGTTCAACGTATTAATCGCAGAACATTTTTTCACGTTTTAGTCCTCGCTACCACTTATCCCGAATGTATTGAAAATTTATCTGGAGAATGGCCAAACAAGATCATTTCTGTACAATTCCAGAACAGTTGTCAAGGTAGAGCTACGCCATTCATACCTTTACGATACTCTATTATATATTGTTATCTATTATTATTATTGTTAAAACCTTGTCCACCATACTTACCCGTTCGGTTGGTTAAGTGTTAGCTCAGCTGACCGAGAGGGTGACCTGGACTGACTACTGTTAATTGGACTCAGATTAAGATCATGACAATGGCATCTTGAGCTGCCACCCCCACCGAACTAACACCTTCACACCAATTAAAATTGGTGGAAGTACATTTTTAAACTGTAATGCCAGTGGAAAGCCGTTGAGCTAAGCGTGCAAAAAAAAATTCAAAACGCACGGTGTTGTCGTTTGGACGTTAGCCTTCGAATGATAGATGTCACCTAATACCATTGCCCCCCCCCCGGTCATGTGACATGCTGACGTCAGGTTATCTGGTTACCAAGTTGCTAACCTTGGTTATTGCATAACCTCATTAAAATGTGACTAACCCCAAATATGACTTTTTGCATGTGTGATATTTGGGTAATTCTAAGAAGAAATGTAATTTAATATCTTTATTTAGTAGTAAAAACCTCATCTTGATCAACCTTTTCACTTTCAAGTTTCCTGATATAATATGAAAAAACTAAGGAAACCTATTTTCCCATATGTTCTGCATGAATGTTATTTCGAACCCTGATTTGTTGCCAACCTTATATAAACACGTCTATATTATATGTTTTAGGACATGTTCGCCTCTCTTGCTGACAAAATTGGTTTAAAGAGATTAGATCGTTTTGCCTTCGTTTTACAAGCTACTCAAACTTTAAACGATTATATTGTCCAGGCAAACGAACGGGTTTCTCAGGTAAATTTTAGAAATTACCGAATGGTGTTTAGTGATTTCTGGAATATTATCACATAAGCAGAAGCTGCTAGAACTTATGGAAACCTTGATTATTTTATATATCACAATATCAAATTAATCATTGTATTGTGTTCATTATTATTGTACTGCATGGGAACTACTTCTTTAAAATAATAATGTCGCACAAAACAATTAATGTTCATTTCAAAAGTTGATAAAAAATAAAACATAACAAAGAATTTAATAAAATATATATCGTAACGATTCTCACCAAAAAGATTTATTAAAGAAATTCCATACAGATTGCGTGCAAAGCTTAATGAGAGCACAAGTTTCAAGCTTAGTAGTTGTATATTGCAGCTATTTGTGAATGAATTGTTCTGGAAAGGGGATATTTACCAAAGGGGATATTTACCTAAACTGATTAAATGGTTCTCCCATTATGCTTTGCACGCTTACAGTTTCAGGTTTAGAGTTATTGTTCATTAAGTAATATGATAAGGAGAAAATGTTCTCGAGTGAGATATTTCATAATTTCGAGACGGTGTGCAAGCAGAAAACTCTGCTCGCCGCGGCTGGGTTTCGAACCCGGGACCTTCGAATTACTAAATCGATGCTCTACCAACTGAACTACACTGTCAGGACGGATCGAATACTGGAAATTATGAAATATATACTGAATGTCGTAAACATACTCGTTTATATTAAATCAGCATCGAACAATACTATCAAAGAAACTAGAAACTTGCGGAACTAGTATTCTGTACTAACTTATAAATATTCCGTAGCTACTAACTTATTCTTGAACTTTTTATCTTTAAGGTATATGCCAGAAGAAATTGTAACAGTTCTGCGTGGTTATCTAAACTTCTTTTGATGTGAGTATCTCTTACAAAGGTCAACGAGTACTCGTAAGTCAAAGAGCGACATGCAATCTCACATTTCGACTCCTGCATGCCACTGTGTGATTGTTAACTTCGTATTAACCGAACGCGTGGTCTGTACGGAGAAATATCGGACGAAGTCTTTTTCGTACAGACCCAGCCCGTAGGGCGAAGTTTGTACAAAAAGACCGAGGTCCGATATTTCTCTGTACATACGGAGCAAGGGAGGTTAATAAAAAGTTTATTAAATGGCATTTATAGGCATTTGAAACAAACAAGAAATGCATGATTTGAAATGCATGTTAGTAGTAGCGTGGCACACATTTGGTCGAAGAAAACCAAAAATACTAATGTATTCCTTCTTTTCCACTAAAAACCATTCGCAGATATCTTATTAATAATAAATTAAATTATAAAGTTTGTTTTCACGTAATGCACTGCCACGGGAAAATATGGACCGCTGAAAGTGTTTCTCAGCCAATCACAGTCCGCCATTTCACCGGAAGTGATGCTTGCCGTATAATAAGAAGTTTTATTTATCAGTTTATTAGAATATGCATCTATAGTGCAACACTTGTTCACAATCTATAATATAATTAATAAGTGACGAAATTGAAGAAAGTGAATAACTCGGATTAAATGTAATTATGTTTATTTCCTTTTTTAGTTTTGCTCCGAAAGATATTCATTTATTTCTCAAGGAGGACCCAGTAGCATTCGATTACTTTTATCGACAGGTGTGCACCATTACACCATTATTTGTTTTGTTGGTCCGTTTGTTTTGCTTGGTTGTCTGTGAACTATATGCACGCTGCAGTAAATGTGCTTGAGGTCATTTAAGTCTAAGAGAGCACTATTCTAGGGTTGAAATTTAAAAACAATTCTGTCGCCCAAGTGAATAAGATCTGGTCGCCCAATTTAATATCAGGTCTCCTTAAATCAATGTGTTTTGAAGAAGAATTTCGCAATTGGCGAAGTTGGCACATGCTCATTTCAACCTCTGCTTCCTTATAATTCCTCCTTTGGATTCATATTCTCAGAATAAATGATTCTTTCGTATCCCCGATTTTCTTTGACCAGTATACTGTTCCCGTGTTGGACTGGGACCAAATATTAATTGTGGGTGATTATTTTTAATTTTCCCTCACAATCGCCCGACTTATTGCGTTTTCCATTAAAATTTAAGAGTTCTGAAACTTTATACTTTACATAGCTACAATCTAACTGATCAAAATAATCAAACAAGTAAATTGCATGCATTAAGCAGGGAAGAATGAAGCGTCAAAAAAGTGAAACGTGGGGGTTAGCAAATCCGAAATATTGATTGTCAGACTAAATCGTGGAAACCAGGGATAGTAACTAAGAAACCGCGGCGCGTCCAACGCTAGTTTTTACCCTCCTAATCCTTTCGAAATCTCGTTCACCACTGCTTATTTTTTATATGAACTGTGTACTTCAATACGGCGTAAAAGCTTAACTCCTATACTTATTGTGTAGATGTGTTCTCAAGTTGTCGAAGGACGTTTTGGTTGGGAACTGAAATACGACACTGCGATAAAACTTGCGGCCTTACATCTTCAACAGTACGCTTTGGAAGAAAAGATTGGGAAAGGCGGGAAAATCTCGGTGAAAGCGATCGAACGAGAGGTTGGTAGTCTAGAGAATTTTGTACCAACTGCTCTCATCGACACGATGCAAAAGAAAGACTTACAGAGGATATTAACACAGCAAATAAAACAAACGCGTAATCTCTGCCCTCCTGGACAGAAGTACATTTCTCCTTTACAAGCCAAACTGCAGTATTTAAAGATTTGTAGTGAAATGAAAACGTATGGAGGAAAACAGTTTAATGCTGTTGTTGTGGATCCCACTGCGGAAGACCAGAAGGTAAAATGAACACGTCGTATAGTTTCTTGTTACATTACACAGTGCATGTTAAGTCGGGGATTACAATCAGCCATATACAAAATCTTCAATACTATGATCCATATTTGAGATATTTGCAAATACCAGTCCCGCATATTTTTGAAATACATGTAACCAAAGACACCCCCCATTGTTTTATAATTTAATATAAAAATAATTGACATCACAATCAGGATGGACGTTATGAAATAATAAGACTCAGATTGCGGTATGCAGTATAGTATATAAGTTATGTTAATGAAATGCCTGCTATGGGACTTCAACTGTCCTTAAATTACCTTAAATCGCCTAAAATCGCAGATTTGCATGTGAGTTAATGCGTGACTTGCTATGTTGGGGTGCATACTGAAAATCATGATCACCAGGGAAAATCCATTTTCCATGAATAATCGTGCATTTGTGTTGACCCATCAGTCATGCTGTTGTTTTGACTTTCTTATTTGTTACTTTAATAATATTTTTTCTTCTGACTTTAGTTCTTTCAAGATCAGAAGATTAATTCTGTTATATTTGTCGGCCCAAACATTGGTTTAGCTCAAGTGACAAATCCAAGATCATTTTCGGTGAGTAAATCCTCAGTCCGCCAGCATACAGTAATTGTTTTATCAGGTATTAGAGAGCTTAAAGGGATACGGCAATATATTTTTTTATTTCATTTTAAAGAACTTCAATTTTATTATTTCATTTTAAAGAACTTTTAAAATTATATGTTAATCTCCTTTACCGATTTTGCGTAACTTTATTATTTCTTGAAATATTTTGTCTTAAAATAATTTGCTGTCCGCCATCTTGGATTAATTTTTATCGCATTATCGGTGATTTTAGTGACGTCATAAGCAGGGTTAGCCAGATAAAACTACATCTAAATGACCAAATAACTTTATGTCTTGTTTGAAAAGTCGTCAGACAGTTTTTTATTTCAAATAGTTACTGAAGTATATGATTTTGGGCTCATAATAACCAATTGCTCTATGGATAAAATTATTGCGTGACCCTGCTTATGATGTCACATGCATATCCACCAAAATCCAAGATGGCGGAAAGCTCGCTGATATCTCAAGAAATAATAAAGTTACGCAAAATCGGTAAAAGAGATTAACATATAATTTTAAAAGTTCTTCCAAATGAAATAATAAAAAATATATTGCCGTATCCCTTTAAAGGTGTGTTTACACATTAATCTGGCCGATTCAGCTTTAATTAAATGATATCTGTCTTATTTTTAGATGCATCAAATAGCCGAATTCAGTCAAATCAATGGCTTGGTGATCACACCGCACACTGAAGGCAAACAAAATATCAAACTATTTTTAAACAACGGCAAGGTATAGCTATTTAACAGTTATTCTACGAACTCGAGTCTTATATGAGCTGATGATAGCCGACGAGGTGCGCAGCACCGGCTGTGCTAACTGACATATACGACGAGAGACAGACTCATCTGTATGGCAATATTTTGGCAGTTGGTTGACTTGGTTCAGCAATCCACACAACTTCCCCTAAACCTGATAAATCACTGTTGCTCTTTCTTTAAGTAATACTTCAAACATTGCTGGAACCTCGATTTCAATTTTTTTATATATTTAAAGTGCACCTGACATCAATTATTTTTATTATCTCATTTTTAAGAACTTCTGAAATGATATAATAACTTATTTTGAAGATTTTCGTTTGCTCACTTTGTTTCCGAGTTATTTCAGTTGCAAATGTCCGGAATTTACGTCACATATGAATAATGACTTATCAAAGAATGCAAGATACAGTTAAATATCATGAAATAAAAAGGCTAAATGGTGTTTGACATAGGTATACTTAATCCTCCCACAAATCCAAACTTCATTTTAATGAATTAAACTCGATAGTGAATACGATATACAAGCTTTCACTTTAAATCATTATGCATTTGTGACGTAAATTCCGGATATTTGCATACCAAACAAACTGAAATATCTCAGAAACAAAGTGAGCAAACGAAAATATTCAAAATAAGTTATTATATCATTTCAGACGTTCTTACAAATGCGATAATAAAAATAATTGATGTCAGGTGCACTTTAAGGGTTATATAGACACAACACGTATACTTGTTGATTTCACGTCTATAAATTGAGCTTCTCCCAAAAAATTATATTCTGTTTATGTTTTCGGCATTATTTTTTACCATATACATTTTTAACTAGTTTAAATATATTAAAAATTTATTTGCTGACCGGCAAACAATTCCTGGGAGTAATTTTTGAACATTTGAACAATTTGTATATAGCCAAGCTTTAACACATCGTTGAAATTTCTTTCTAGTCTGTTACGCTCATCATGGGACCAATATTTGAAACACGGGACTTAGTGTACTTAATATCTGGTTATCATAAACATTTGGTTGAAAATGCAAGACCTCTTTCAGTCATTGATATGACTTCTCCTGCTGATGTCGAGGAGCCAGTAGATGAAGAAGGTAAGAAAAAATTGACAATCTATTTCATTTCAGAAGGTAAGAAAAAATTGACAATCTATCTATTTCATTTCATAAAAAAAATTGACAATCTATTTTCATTTCATTAACCATCTCGTATATATTTATGTGAATATCTCAATTTCTCACTGAGAGCTTATTATGTACGAACTTTATGAGTTTATTTTTAAACTTATCATACATATTTTTGTGTAATGAGATATTTTCTCGTACAATATTATAAGAATGATTATGTACATTGGCAGGGATGTTCTATTGAAATACAATGCAAAAAAATGTGTTTCGGTGCAAATTTTTCATGACATGCCAGCTCGGCTTCCTTCTGAACAGCGCCTGAGAAGCTCGCTCGAGTGCGTTGCCCAAATTGAAACGACGCCATTATCTATAGGAAACAATTTTCAGTAATTGTGATTTCGTCAATTTTCATTGTAGTGCCCTCGTATTCTGATATACATCAAGTGTTGCTTGATGATTGCAGCTACCGGAGAAATGGTAACGAAAATGACGAGGATGTGAGACAAATAGCATTCAGACAAAGACCAGATTTTGAGAACAGTGAGTTGTACTCGCTCGCAGATCATTCTAAGAACACACAACCCCCAACTCGTTTGAGCAACGGAAGTGTTAAGACTCATTTAAGTATTCTTGTGAACAATAATCAAAGTCTCAATTCTATCGAAGAAGAGGCTTTGTCACTTACGTCTCCGAAGTCTGGGATATTGTTATCGCCAGAAAAGAGAACTTATATGAACGGCGTTCGTGAGCCGAAGAGAAAATCTTTTATGCTGCTGAGTGACGATTTAACGTCAGAATCAACAGACGAGGAGCGGACAGATGATGTAAAGACTGCAAGTCTTGATAAAGAACAAGATACTAAAAATGGTTCAGATAGCTTAATGACTAATGCAACAAAGTCTCCAGTCCGAAATCACTCATCAATTCATGTTTCATCTCCGTCTCACAATAGTGAACATGTTGAACCAATGGATAACTCGGGAGATTTATATAATGGCGATATCATGGGTCACGTTCACGAAGTTCAAGTAGACATTCCTCTGACTCCAAGCTTGCCGTCGTCTGTAAGTAACACGAGTGATGAAATTTCATCACTGAGTTCTAATTCATCTAGGACGTCCCCTTTGACAATTTCTAGTGCTTTGTTGCTAAAGCATCAAACTTCCAAAGAAGTTGTTTTGGTCAGTGGTGGTAGTAGTCCAACCACTGATGCGGACGCTTCAATGGAAAACTCGTCCGAAGAGAAGAACAATGAAAAGGTGCACGCTTGTGATACTAAAACCAATGATACAACCACTGATCCTGAGGCTTCAATGGAAAACTCTTCCGAAGAGAAGAACAATGAAGAGGTACACGCTTGTGATACTAAAACCAACGGTACAACTACTAATCCTGGGACTTCAATGGAAAACTCTTCAGAAGAGAAGAACAATGAAGAGGTACACGATTGTGACACTAAAACCAATAATATAATTGGAAGTGAAAGTCCAGCTGAAGAAATCCAGACTAATGGAACTGATGCGTGTGATGGTAATACATTAGGGATATCAAATACCGCCGTTACTAAAGACAATAATCTTCAGAATGGTAGCTCGCTGTCTGAAGTACAGGTTAATGGCGATATAAAGACTTTACCTTTTAAACAGAAACGGCGTAGATCTTCAGGGTATATTGCTTATAATGGTGGTTTTCGTCAAGACCTACATGTACCTGAGTGTATTATTCATGATGACATCACTTTAACGATTGATCAAGCCACCGAGGACAATAAATCAAATAGTAGTTCTCAAGAACAAAGCACGTCTCGTAGCGATGCGTGTGATCACGCCCTGAAGACGTTTTACTCATTAAAAACAAAATTAAACACACTTAAACACTCAATTCGTCCTGTACGAACGAACAATGAAATTGTGCGAAGTAGAAAGCAGTCAATGATCGAGATAATCGGTGTTTTAGAGGAATGTAACGAGCAAATTAAAGATCTGACAACAGCTGATGAGAAGGATGTCGTTGAAGCAATCCTGAGAACAAGGTCATCTCTCAGTCAGTTAACTGAATCCTGTACCCTCGCGTATAATGCTCAATACAGCATGAAGCATTTCACGACAGATCTCATCGAGTCTATTGACAAACATATCGATGTTTTGATTACGACAGATGCCTGGAATACGACGCCTGTTTCAGACCTCACCAGGGAATTACACAAAGACAAATGCGAATTAGTTCACGATTCGTTGGAGTCATTACGGAAAAGTATAAACAAACTCTGACTGCTGTTCATGTGTATGAGTAAAATTGAATTAATGCGGGTGAGAATGGTAAAACAACAAGATAAATGTCAGCTATTAAAAATCCGTTCAAACAAATACCCCTTTATTAAGAAAATTCCAGTTTATTTTCATGAGGTCTTTTTGACTGACGTTAATAGAAACAAAAATAAGAATACCATAGATGAATTGCATGCAATGCAGTCTAGTAATTGGCAAACAAAATCATGACAATAAATTAGAGCTGCTCCCATCGGTTCATTATCGTAATCGATTAATCGTCATCAACAACCAGTTAAAATCGATTGATCGTAATGAGTAAATCTAGACAATAATCGAGCAGCTCTACAATAAATTTAGCATGATATTGTACAACTAAAATGATTTATTTTGACTTATGACCTTGACTAGATCACACTGCATTGTAATTAAAAATCGTATCGCTAATTGTGAAAATTTTCGTGACAATAACTCGAACAATAATTCTTGGAGAGACTAATTGTAAATTTAATGTAGTGCATAAAACGATGCACTTTACCGTCGTCGATACTGTTCGTCTAAAGTATTCTTTATGTTTATGTTCGACTTCTACTGAAGCATGGAGCAGTATCTTTATATGTAATATATATTTCTCTTTTATAAGGATCTCATCTCTAAGAATAGTGAGCCATATATACTACCTTATTACATAGATAGTGGCATTTCTGCATGAGCTTTCAGAAAGCTTTTAGTTGTTTTACAAACTTCACGGGGAGACATAAAGGAACGCTGTCCGCTCGCTTCTCTGGTGGAAACAAGAGCAGAAATTCTTTACGACTTCCTACGTGATCTATCGAGTTGTCGGGAAAATAACAATATCCAGTATGAGCATCAATTTCGTATTCTTATACAGGGTGTATAAAAAAGGTAATCCAACTTTGGCATGTTATTTTGTGTTAGTATGTTCAATTTTTTTCAGACTAACAAAGGTCAGGGCCGTCAGGCTCTTAGTTGGTACATGAATTGACACACAACAACTGCTGGATAAACGTGTCCCAAATAGGCAACCGGAATTTGGTAAATGTCCAAAAATTGCGCACGTATACAAGTTATCGTATGGTTATCGTTGTGTGAACAACTCGCAAACAGTGTTCGCATTCGTTTCATCGCAGAGTGTCTGGGACTATCACCGACTGTCGCAACAAAACATTTTTTTTATTTGAGCCTTTTCATACATCGCAATTCATCGGCGATGGTCAACTAGCTCCATTGTCAATGTTGATTGTTGTATAAAATTCTTTGTCAATCGGGAAGAATTTTCTTCTTGATTGATCACCGACAATGGACGCCGATGAAATGTGATATATGAAAACCACGAGTGCCTCCGACAGTCAAATGAGTCCTCCGGAGTCATTTGTTCCAAGTTGCCTGCGATGCTCGCTCTTTATTAGTGACCAGTGCGAGAAAAGTAAATCTCTATAAACCTAATTCCTAACGCAAGATAACAGTCCAATGTTGGATTACCTTTTTATACACTCTGTATACGAATTTTATATACCCGCGGTGACATTTTGTCGGGTGCCATTTTTTTCGGTGTCCTTTTAGATCACGGTATACGAGTATTGAGTGCTTACGGAACTTTTGTCTTGTTTGTAATTAAATTTTATATATATATATATATATATATATATATATATATATATATATATATATATATATATATATATATATATATATATATATATATATATATATATATATATATATATATTGAAATAGCTTAAGTTTTCGGTTTACGAAACACAAACAGTGCTCAATACCATATAGATAGAACGTAATATAGTTTTTCGTTTTACCTCAAAAAACCACAACAGTCTGTTTCATCCGTATAGGAATCATCAGGTGGTGAGTAATTGAGAAAATTACTCACCACCTGATTTTTTTAGGTAAAACGAAAACTATATATTGAAATATATATATATATAATGAAATACGAAATGAAACCAAATACATAATCAAATGCTATATGATAAAAAACATTTCATATATTAATAACGTACCCTGCTAATTCATCAGCTAATATATTTAGTGAACTGTGACTATATATTCAAAATATGTATTTTTACAAATACGTCGTCAACAAAACATAAGCATTTTTATCGAAAATAATTAATAATTAGATAGATTTAATTTTTTTGTACTTGAACATATCCTCTGTGGTAATTGACCTTGTGTACTGTAAATTATGTATATGATTTGATTGGTTGGGAGTTCGGTTGAATAAAGTAAAAAGAAAAAAATTGAAAGTGTTTCGTGTTTTTCCCTCGACTCCTCATCTGGGTACGAGTTCTGTATCTTCCACAGTCCCTCAAATTCGCTTCGAAAGGCATGCAGGCGCTTGCTGTACTGCGCAGGCTAGTACCTGGTTGGAACACAGGGCCGTACGGAGAATTGTTTCACCAGGGGGGGGGGGGGCAGTAATTCCTATATGTGAAGTAAGTACCCAAATGGCACTGCATTCAAAATCATATCAGTTAGATGCATGCTTATGGTCGTCCCATAAAGGTCATACACTCCGAATCCCGATTCACAAGATTATGGCAGCTGCCGCCAGTGCAGGGCATGCTTTGTTCCGCCTGAAAGACAACTAAAAAGTGCAAAGTCAAAGAAGCAAGGGATTCAACAACAGTACTAATAAGCCAATTGATGCAATTGCATGCCAACGGCAAAAATTGCACTTCTTGGAAGTAAAAACAAATTTCGCGTTCCCGCTAAAATCGTACGGGAATATTTTGTCAACGCCTGCTAAACAATGTTAGGCTAGCGGCTAAAAAGTACATGAAACTTTCCACGATCGAACACAGACCTATCGGTACTTAATAATTCTGGATATAGAGGTATCGCTGAAAATTCCTGGGAAAGAAATTATTAGTCAACATTTTTTATGTTTTTTGTACAAATGCTATTTTGCGAACAAGACGCGGGCGTATATGATAAACATATGACTATTACCTTCGATAGACGAAGATTGCCTGAATTAAACCTATTTTCTGATAAATCTGCCCAAATTTTCTTGATTTTTCCTAGCATTTGTCCGAATTTCCATGGTTTTCCAAAATTGGGGGGGGGCCCCCCCTACCCCATGTCTCGTACGCCTATGCTCGATCAAGTTATTGGTATTGGTTATATTCGCAAATAATTATATGATACACAACGTACAATATGATTGCATTTGACAACAGGTGACAAAAATATTGCAAACGAATTTAATAACCTTTTCTGTAAGATAGGACTACAACTTGCAGAAAATATACCACCATCAGATTTCGACCCCTTACATTATGTGATTAATTCTTATAATAAACGCGTTCGAATTTAAGAATATTACGAGGCAGAATTGGTGAGTATGTTAATTAAAGAAGGTTAAAGCATCTAAGGCAACAGGCCTTGATAAGATTTCTAGTAACTTACTTAAAGCAGCAGGCGACTCCATAATTGAATCTCTCATGTAGTTATTTAATCTAACTTGTTTTGAACACTGGTATTTTTCCAGATGATATGAAACTTGCAAAAGTTATCCCAATCTATAAATCTGGAGAAAGGGCCAACTGTGGTAATTATAGACCTATTTCAATCTATAATCTCAGTTGTTGCAAAAATCTTGGAGAAGATTATTTATAATCAAATATTTGACGACGTAAAACAAAATTCAATTTTAGCGAACCAACAATCAGGCTTTCGTCCTCAACAGAAACTACACTCCTACATTCCGCTAACCAATGACTTATTAATATGGACATACAATCTTTGCCAGAAACTATGGGACAGCTGCTGTAATTTCATATATTTTGAAAGGAATAGCGCCCCCCGTTCCCCCAGTTCAATGTTGGGCCAACAAAAATCTGATGTCTGGATGCGCGGCGCCAACATTGAAACGGGTGGGGGGAGGGAGTGTGGAAAATATGTATCAGCAAATGGTATATTACAACCGAATGCATGTGAAAACTAGATTGTCCCAATCTATATTGTCAAAGATTGTCGGTTGAAGTAATACCATTACTCTTAAATTTAACTTAATTCAACTTGTAGACGGCATCATAAAGCTGTATACGCAGTCAATTTTCATAAGTTCTTCACACCTTTTAGGTCCTTGAGCAATTTCGTTGCACACAGATAATTTGCGTGTACTGTGTTATACAATGTGCGCGTATGCGTGTGTTAGGAAATAGCTAAAATCCGGCTGAATTTCATCGCGTATATTTCAAACCAGATTTAAAGGCTTGCAGTGGTATATTTTAGTCACAATTCATTGAATTCCATGCATGGTAACAGTATTGGAACTCTATTTAAAGAAAATTGACAACTGAGCCAACTTGTTAGTAAACTAAGCGCGTATATATGTGACAATGAGATCCATATAGAAACGAATCTCACCACGAATCTCACCATATTTTGATGGGCTCACACGCCATAAAAGCCTTAATAGCAGACAATATCAAACAAATTCACCCTAGGCATCTAAAGTCCAGCATATTTTACAAGATTGGACGATTTTACAAGTTTTCGTAATGAACTGACTAAGATACGAATGATTTTCTAGCAACGATTCCCACCTTTCTGTCATAAAATAGCCAATGAGATATAGATTTATTTACAGATTTGTAGTGAGCTTCGTTCAAAAACGAACTTAAAAAGGGATATCTGCAAAGCTAACCGATTGTAATTAAGGAAAATGGTTTCTTGTACCCATAT